TACCGTGGTTAGACATAAAAAAGTCATATAAATTTCAACAAGAAAAATAAAGGTTTGTAATGAAAAAATAGCATTGATAATGAAATATATATTTACGCAGCTTCTTCGAGATTAGTGTGGAAAGTAACGCTATCACTAGGTTTTCTATATTATTATCTCTGAATGACTTTTCTAGGAAGAATAAAATTCAAACTTCTATTCATATACATACTCGTAGTATAATAATTTCATAATGATAGGCCTGTTGTCCTAGTGGTTAGTGATTCTGACGGCTAAGCCAGAAGTTGTAGGTTCGATTCCCACCCAGAACAAATAATTGTGTGATGAGCATATTATGTGTCTGGATTTAATATATCTGAAATGTGTATTTATTTATAAAGGTATAAGTATGTTTATCAGTAGTCCGGTTACCACAATGCAGGTTCAGATTAGACAGCCGTGTGTGAGATGTCTGAAGTTATTATTATTAAGATCGCCCTATCTACTAGTTTTTTAATGGCAAACGGCAAATCCGTTTGTCTCTAAAAACAAGGCATTTACTTCAGTAAACCTTCGACCTTTCTGTACAGGAATCGTTAGCAATATTGTTAAGTGCTGTGCCAATAACACTGTTATACCAATTAACCTTTCCGCCGCCATATTATTTCGATTACAGGAAACAACGAACAATTGTTGGCTTACTGACTGTAAAACATAATGGCCTCTTGGACCTTCTCCTCTACGTAATAAAGCCTGTTTTCATTTTCAACCCGGTCGTGCTGGTATTAAAATGTTATGCTCTGCTAGTAAATCCTCTGAATGACGTCAATATACATTATAAGATCTCGTAATAATAAATTCTGCAAAGTAGATAAGATTAAATCTCAATTCTTATATTAAATATTAAATTTCTTCATTGTATAATAAAAAGACCAGCGCTTAACAATGGTTTCGTAATTCCACATGCCACCGACAGGTGGTATCCGAGGGGATTTCCGCACGGAAAAAAAAAGGCGTGTATAATGTTACACGAACCATTCGGGCTACTTCTGACCCCTACACAACTCGAAAACTATTTAATCGACATCTACGAAATTTGGCATATTTATTAAAGATTTTTAGCTTGTCTAGAATCCAGAATTTCATTAACTTTGCTTTAACAGTTATTTATTTATTAACGTTTAAAAACCGGCATTTTTATGACTGAATCATTCACAGACTTATTGATCAAAAACCTAACCCATTTCCAGGTGACCTAGAAACTTGATATTTGGTATCAAGGTAGACTATTGGGCATATACAAAGGAATAAATCTAAAAACTGAAAATTATTGATAATTAGTGTCAACAAAGTAACGACAAATTTAAGTATGAAAGTAGGCACGGCTATTTTTTCATCGTTTATATTCCGTGGACAGCTGGTTTAACTTACAAAGTACTAGTCATCAATTTCTTACTGCAGAATTCTATCCCTAAAGTTAAAAAAAATACTGAGTATAAAAATAATGCAATAATTCGCAAAGTGCATGATAACGTAGTAGCGCCTCGAGTTAGGTACCAATCTCCGTTGCGTGCGTGCGCGACCCACTCGCTCTATCTATATGCGTGGTTTGTTTTTTTCATCAAATCTGAGAACTCTTTCGAATTTATAAGAAAATGTAATCTTATTTTTTAATATTTTCTACATAAATCGATACTGTTTCGTGCACCCTATCATTCTCAATATTTAGCAAAGGTCAAGCTTACGTTGCACTCTCCAGTTAAAACGTTAATAGCTTAGACGGAGTACATCTTACATCTTACAAATCTCGATCCAATCTATACTAATATTATAAAGCTGAAGAGTTTGTTTGTTTGTTTGTTTGTTTGAACGCGCTAATCTCAGGAACTACTGGTCCGATTTGAAAAATTCTTTCAGTGTTAGATAGCCCATTTATCGAGGAAGGCTATAGGCTATATATCATCACGCTAAGACTAATAGGAGCGGAGCACTAATGAAGAATGTTTCAAAAATGGAGAAAATTTATTACTATTGAGAGACGCAGACGAAGTTGCGCGGGTCAGCTAGTACTCAATATATTTATTGCATTCCACAATGTTTACTTAGATAGTAACTTAAATATAAGATCAGATCATCATGGACCCTGCCGGGCACAGCAATAGATGAGAGAGGGAGAGATAATACAAACTAACAATAGCGGTCGCCACGCCGCTTTCTATTACGTCGAGTGTTGTGGGTTCAATCCCCACATGGGACAACACTTTGTGTGATCCACAAAATTGTTGTTCTGAGTCTGGATGTATTTTGTGTCCGTTTCATGTATGTTTGTAAAGTCCCCCGCGACACAGGATTTATTCCTAGTGCGGGAGTTGTCTTTTTTAAAAAAAAAGAAATATATATATATATATATTTAATATGATTTCATTTCTAATTTCTTCGGGTAATTTATTGTAAATTTTGATAGACATTACTTGAGTACTATTTGAATGAATTTGTCCAAGTCAAGTCAAGGCAGCTCTGGACTGATTTTACTAAAAAGACGCATGAAAGAATAGGTATGGCTTGCAATAATATCTTCAGGCAATTAATGGGCTTAAAGTGCTTCGTAGCGCTTCTGAAATGCTAACGGAGGCACGCCTTGACACTTTTAACGCCATTCAACGGAAGAGGATTGTTTTTTTCATGTCCAGAGTCGGTGCATGGATAATTTGATTATCAGTGTTATGGCAGGGAGACATACCTTAACATTTAGACGATGGGTAGAAACTAATCTGACCTGATAGTATTGTAATTAATAAGATAATTGTATTTTATACCTATTTATATATTTACAATTTTTTTTTAATATTGTATGTATTTTATCTTGAAGATACGGATCAAGTGTCTGAACTAAAAAAATAAATAAATAAACAAAAAAGTTTTATAGCCAAATTAAAAATAAACAGAAAACGTGTAACAAAAATTGTACATAATGAATGGAAAATTCACTCTAATATTTCGAAGGTACAAGAACATAAGGAAAATAGCACATAAAGAAAACTATACAACGTAAACGTAGGTAAATAGAGTAATTTTACAAATAACAATGTATTAATGATGAGTACTAACTCTCATCAAAAATATAAATGTGAAATGAGAGCCAAGTTCATTATTAAGAATATGCGTCGTTGCCGACTTCGCCGACAAAAGAATTGCGATCTATTATCTATTCAGGGATAAATAATCTAGGAACGTTCAGAGCTAACTTTAGTGAGATTTTTGAAACTTGAACATATTTTGAAATGGTTTTCCCAAATACCAGTGTGCACTATACTCATACGAAGTCCTCACGATAATCAAATATCGAATAGCAAAAATGCCGGTACATTCAACTTCATTATTTCACAGTTTATTCGCTTTGAAGTTTGTACCTTTGGGGAATGCATAACCAATGCAATTACGTTCAGTAGAAGTCATTATAGCCTTTACATATATATTTTTGTATTTTATTCTGTAAGGTCTAAATACGTCAACTTGTGTATTTTATTAAAATATTTTGTTTTAGTTTTCAATCCAAGGTTGTCTGGTAGAGAACGCTTTTAGCGATAAGACAGCCCATTGTATTCTGATTTATAAAATTACAATTAAATTTTCAAATTCAACTACAATAAACAGTATCCTAAGATATCTTAACATTTTCTTGGTTTAAAGAAATAAACAAACACGTAAAATTAAATGTGTTTTTCCATACAGTCCCTTATTTCTCACTAAGAACTCCTAAACAGAACTACCAAAGTTGTTTTTGAAAGTTGCTACGTAAACTATTTATGTTACTGGGGTCCTTGTTTGCAGCTAGCAGTTAGTTCAACTTTAATAACTTTAGAAAACGGTGGCGTTTAACTTCCACAGCAAATCTAGTTATAATATATATAGTTAGTTAGAAATATAGTTAAGTATTTTAAACTCATTTTGCTTGAATATATTTACATTTAGAAATTTACCCACTCAAAAATTAGTTTTTAGAACATTTGCCCGTGAAAGCGTATCAGAACTAATAAATTTTAAGTTTTATTAAATCTGAGCTGTGATAAAGGTTTTTCAACGTGGGTTATATGGCCCACGGCCAAGACCGTGATACCTGATATAGCATTGGTTCTAGTTGGTTTAGTTTTAGCATAACCCCTGCCTCCTCCCTTGGATATTGGATAGAGGAAATCTTTTTTTAACGATCATGAGTATTTGTCATGTTATTGACTCTCAGATAATGTGTGCACTCATCACTTTACAAATGTTTTTATACCAATAGACACAGATCCGCGAAGAAAGGATCGAAATCCTTATGTAAGTAATTGTTTCTGTTGCAATATACGTATTGCCGCCAAAAACCAGTATCAGTCCCTATTCGCCATTTTGTTTACGAGTATGTTTGTGAAGTCAGGGATTTCAATTTTACTGCTTCCAATTGTAATTTGTTTGCACGCACGATGCGGCAATAACGTCAATATGGTGGTAAATACGTGTTAAAATTTTGATACAAAAACTTCTGATCAATTGAGTTGAATTGCAAAACTTTAGACTTATATGGTATATTGTTAAATCGGTGGGTGGTTGGTTATTCATTGCATGACAGTTGCTACTTACTACTTATTTCGTAGAGTACTAAGGTATTTAGTACCCTTTATACCAAACGATTGATAAAAATCGTACCTGACGCACCAGCCGACCGCGTCTACTTGATCCAGAACTTTAACAGGAGTGACTTACCAGCTGCATATTTATAAAGCTAAAAATCTAAACCTACTTTTATTAAAAAAAAGTTTATGTTAATCACCGTATGAAGTGATTTTAGGTATGAGAATATCTTATGTAGTGAAGCAAAAGGTAAAGTTACGCGTTTTAATAGTATTATTGGGAATTTTGAAAGACAAAACCTAGTGGTGGTTTGAATTAAATTCTGACGATCGCCCGTAAACTTCAGCTGAAAATATGGGCCAGATCTTAATTTTAAATTATAATTTATTTATAATTATATTTTTTTACAGGTACTAAGTTCTGACACAGACTGGCAGTTTGCCCATCGGGGGCTGCCGCACGCACGCCCACGCCGCTCCATCGCACACACGCGTATTCTCAAACAACACCCTCTTGTAAGTACAACCACTTCTTACTAATGCTTTTATATTCAATATTCAAATACATAACAAGAATAGGAGGACAGGAATATTGCTTATACGGAGAATGTAACCAACAACACAAGACGGTCCTCTAACCGAAATAAAATATACTTGTTAGTTGTTATGATATTTTTATCACTAAACAATGACTACACGGATGGCGTAGTGGTTTAAGCGGTCACCTCCCCGCTTCCTACTACGCTAAGTGTTGTGGGTTCAAGCCCCACATGGGACATTACTTTGTGTGATCCACAAATCCTTATCCTGAATCTGGATGTTCTTTGTGTCCGTTTCATGTATGTTTTTTTTTATGGAATTGGGGGCAAACGAGCAGACGGGTCACCTGATGGAAAGCGAATACCGCCACCCATGAACTCCTGCAACTCAGGCGTCACAAGCGCGTTGTAAAGTTGTTGTATGTTCGCAAAGTCCCCCGTGACACAGCATTACGAGTGTATTCCTAGTCCGGGAGTTGTCTTCTAAAGAAAAAGAAAAACAAATGGGTGTCTGAATTTTATTCAAATCAGGGCGTGAATGAATATTAAAAATATAGCATACTAGCTTTTGCCCGCAGCTCCACCCGCGTGTATGTCGGTTATCGTATAGTAAAGTAGTAAAGAATAGTTAAAATCGGTTTAGTGTTAAAGGCGTGAAAGCGTAACAAACAAACTCATTTTCACATTTAAAATATAAGTATATACACGTAGTGATATTTGAAGCAGAAACTACGTCATTCATGTAAAGCAATTAGCACGATTTAAAAACATAAAACAACACACATTAACACACAATTTCAACTTTACAGCATAATTTTTATTACGAGAAATTCTTTTTTGAAAGAATATAAATAATATGGACCGATTCGGTCCTCTACTTACTCAACTCTTATTCTACTTACCTCAATAAAAACATGTTGAAACTATCGACATTCAGCTATCAAAAAAAATGTAAACGCCTTGAAAATTAAAGATAATTCACAAATTTATTCCTTCTTGTTTGCAGTGAGTAAAACAACCAATGATATCAAACTATCATTCATCAAGCTTCAAAACCTAAATTACGTGCGCCCTTGATACTTCAGACTGCTAACGAAAAATGACGGTCTTAAATTGTTATTAAATTTTTCGCCTGACAGTATTCTGAGCCCATAAATCACCATTTATTATAGGTACCCACACTAATGTAATTTATTGATTGATCATAAATATACTTAATTATTAGACGTCGATAAACTTGGTTCGTATGTTCAGCTATGATCAGCTAATTTCTTGCGTCAACAAGCAGTAACTACAGCTATCTTACAAATAAGTAACTGATTTGTATAAGAAACAACAAGAACACCGTTAACTACAGAAACTTTAAACTTTATTATTTTGAAATATATATATTTCAGTTAAAATAGGTATCATAAACTTAGTAGTTTACTTCTTCTACGTAGTACTTAAGTTTCTTAATTAATGTTAGCTATTAGTTTTAGATAACTTTCTAATAACTTTATCAAATCTTGCAAAAACACATGTATAAATAGGTACTGTACTTTTTGCTGTTTGAGCTTGAAATACCTACAGTTTTCTGATATCACTATCACTATTGATTTTATGAATTAGATTTATCTTATGATTATTTACACAGCGGAATGATAACGAAAGTAGGATGCACTCAAATACCATTTAATGGTGACGTAAGCAAGGTGATTGGCAAATAAAAGTGACAATGCTATGTTTGAGGGAATCGATATATTTCCTAATCGTTCATTAGATCTTATCATCAGCCTATCGCTCCCCCAAGGAGCGCTAACTATCCCAGTCTTTGGCAGACCACATTTATCCGCTACCAGCCAATTTCCATAATGAGAAATGTTGTCAATTAGCAATCGGACATTCAAGGATACACAAGACTAACAGCTTGTGGATATATTTTGAGGAGATCTCTAGGTTTAACAATAGATTTCACACAGTTTGCGGGTGTGTGGCATAATAAGACCTAATTAGGGGCCTGTCCGTCTGCCCCAAATCACAAATGGAAACACTGGGATATATTACTTTGGACCTTCCAGATTGAGATAACATTTCTGTAGCAATTAACAATTATAGTAGGCTCTTTACCTATTATTTTAAGACGCCATTAGTAGTACTTTACTGCTGCGTGTGGTCATCGAAGAGCAACGTATCACGTCGTGATGTTGCAAGTGTGATAGTATTAGAAACTGTTTACGAACAAAAAGTATATTATTCTAATTATATTTCTTTTTTTTGCTATACAACTACATTCAATGAGCTGCGTTTCTATCTTTCTGGATATACAAGTCAAAAAACATTTTTGGTCTCAAACAACCAATGCTCTTTAGACCTTTTTCTTTATAGTAGATGCTACATTAAGTAAGGTAAATGTTTGAGTTTATAAATAAAGAATACTCTACAAAGTTGAATGGGAGCGAGTATTTCGTGAGAAAATACGGCTCACGCTCGATGGGGCTTAAATTCTCTCCTAAAGATTTGACTTAAAATGGATGTTTACGTGCTCACTCGTGTATTATGGAAGTAACAGGGTTGGTACGTAAAAATATTTACCTATGCGTTCAGGTAGTTGTGCCAAATACAAATATGTGAATATAAAAAAGCTGGAATTGGAATCCAGGTTTGAAATTTAATTATTTTTAAAAGCCAATAATTTTTTCCCGACTTCATGTGTTTTTCTCACTTTTCTTATCATTTTGAAATATACAGTTTATGGAAAATTGAGTGGTGAGTCATTATTATGTCACGGAGCGACGCCATTTAACTGCTGATGAAATGCAGAGAGCTGTAGGGATGCTGTAAGCGGGAAGAATGCAGTTTTAGGTATCAATAGTAGCGTGATTTGTCGTCTTTGGCAGCGTTATGTTAATACAAGGGATCCTGCTGAGCAGCACCATATGGAAGGAATACAACTGCTCGTCAGGACCATACCATACATACAACTGACTGCAAGGCTTCAGCCGATGTTAACCACCCGGGAGATAAGTTTAAAGCTGCAATTCGCACACAGCTCCTAGTACCAGAGAGTACTTGCCAATTCAAAACATCCGGGTATTGATATGGCCTGCACAATTGCCAGACGTCAAATTAAAAGGGATGTGTTGAACAACAACTGAAAGACTTATTAAAATTCCATTGGTAGCGAATATTCCCGGGATGAGATAAACAATCTTATAAATTCAATGAAAAATCGTAGTTTTAAACAACAGACTGTATTTAATTACCAAATAATAAAAAAAATGTCGTTATTTAATTTTATAAAACATGAAAAGTTTAATTTCATTTTAACTTTATTTTATACTACGTATGATACAGGACACATATTGTTAATCATTGTGATTAAATGAATAATGGAGTGAAGGATGTTACTGCTTTCGTCACTAGAGCATCAAATAATGCTTAGTTATTAAAGTTATTAAAGTTATATAAAAGAAATATAAATTTATTACAATAGTAAAAACCATTCAAAACCGTACAATACATGTTACTTGGACGTTTTTTATGTGTGTATAAACAATCTGAAAGTTCACTATCCAGATGACGTAATAATAACGTGTATGTTTGTTAAATCGTTGTTTCACCATTATTTTGTGAAACTAACACGCGACCAGCTCAATGGTAAATATTTTCCGATGTCTAAACAAACTACAATAATAAAGTCAATACGAATATCTAGATAAGTTATTGAACAAGTTTTATTCTGTTCTATCTTAGAATGTAGTAAAAAATATTTTATTACCTACTTATCTCAGGCGAACGTTCACTGCTGGATATAGGCCTTCCCCAAGGCTCTCCAGATTGTCGGACCATCTTGTAGCGGGCTTGCCCACGCTCCGTCTTCATCTCCGTATTATCATAACGTTATATATGTATGTGATAAAAAAATACTTCATCACAACTTTCCCTATTAATTTAAAAATTCATACATTTATGAAATTTAAAAATCGTGGCAACCTTTACCAAGACCTACAGCTTCCAGCTAGATTTCTATTTCTGATATAAACGTATATCCTAATACTTTTGAGACACATCACGTGGGAAATGCTCTTTTGGAGAGATCTTTGTTCGCCCACATAGAAATATGTTTAGCATATTACAGTAACATATTATTATCAAGATACTTGAAGAAGATACACACGCAAGTAATTTTTTTTTACTGAAAGAACAATTTTTTTAATACATCGCTAAGAAACGTGGAGGAACAACCTGTATGCACTCAGGCTGTTTTCGAATGTTTACGTAACCACGTCGCCAAAAAAAGACACACCTAGTATTAATACTAGATACCAACGTTGACACTGAAAAAAAAGGAATAACATTATTTATACGATGATCAACACGAGCTAAAGGCATAATTAATATTGAATAGTTAGTTTTATCTTGGTGAATAATTGCAATCTATTCGTAAAGGGATTAATGATGATGGACGAGTTTGTATTATTGCCTCATCAATAATGTAGGAGTATCATAATGAGTTTCTTATAACATACTTTAAGTAGACTAGTTTATTTATACCTGTTTTAATACACGAGTATTTGGTTGGTACTCGTACTCGTATCCATACTACAATATTGTAAATGCGAAGGTGTATCTGTGTGTCTGTCTATCTATGTGTCTATTCTTTCTGTTTTGTTACCTTTTCACGCTTAAACTACTAAACAGATTTAGATGAAATTTGGTATGGAGATAGTTTGATTCTTGAGGAAGGATATAGGCTACTGTTTACTGTGATAACTAAAAAATATATTCTTTAATTAATAACTTTTTAGTGCCGACGTACTTTTACAATCGGTATTTTTAAAAAGATAGTGACGTTAAGGTCACAGCGTGAACCAATAATATCAAAAGACTTGGAGTTCAAGTTCCAGAAGATGTAATTACAGCTTAGAATAAGAGATAAGGCGTAGGCCATGAATCTATTTCGTTCTTCACCTGCGTAAAAGATTTCTCTGAAAG